CTGAGTAGTGATTCTGGTTGGTGGTATTATTGATGATATGAATGATGATGATGATGAAGTTGTTGTTGTTGGCAGAACTGTTGTAGGAAGGGCTGTTGTTGGAGTTGGATTATCACGACATTTCAGGACACCCACATCTTCTGGACAGTCTTCATCTGGAAGAATTGTTTTAAAGAATTTATTTACAGTCGACTCTCTCTTAACGGACACTTCTGAAGATGGACACTTTAATAAAACAGACACCTAGACTTGGTCCCTGCCTTTTTTTCGTCCCTTTACTTGACTCTCAATAAGACAGATTACTAACATCGGAAAAAAACTCATGACCCTCCGGACAACCTTCTTAACCCATTCGCCCCTCAAACGCATGTATAACCGTCCGTGCAGACCAACGAGGGTTGAACCACCTGTTACACCATCAGTCTCAACGGTCGAGGACAACTTGGTCTCCTTATTTGTGCAGGAGGAAAAGATCCTTCCCACCATGCCAGAATGAGAACAATTCAATCTAGAAGACTTGAGAAAAGTTCAAACACCATGAAAAGTTGACCCAAAAATTCTAACAAAAATCTTGTTCCATTACCCACCCGCACTTCCTTCCACCAAATCCTATAATCCTAAAAGCTTTTCCATAGAAGTGTTCCACCAGAATGAGAAAGCCTAGTTAATGCCCAGCAAATAACAAGAAACTGGGCAAAGAAGCGGAAAGAAGAGGGAAGGCGAGAAAGCAAAAGGTAAAAGTCGAGACTACTGTGTGACTTTTAAACACAAATACTCTTCCAAAATTCTGCTTTCTACACATGCCCAAACTTCAGAGGGTGATATTTTAAATCTGTAACAAAAGGCTGCAAAGTGCACAAACTTTAAATGGCATTATGGGACGTTTTGGCAGTCTAAAGCCAGACTGTGACCACAAAACAGCTCAACTAGCTTTAAAGGCAGTTATTGTGGCATCAACTTCACCTTGAAGTTTTTCATTCAAAGCTTTTTACATGTAGTTAACATGGCATGTACCTGTACAGTATGTGTACACTGTACTTCAACACTTCTTTTAATTACACTGTAGTAATTGAACATTACCTGTATGAGTTAGATTACTTTTTTTGCAGACATATACTTCAATTTTCATAAATATTCCGGTTTTTGTGTCATTGCAGTGACCTCCACTAAGGTCATTGAGGTGTGTCTGTGTGCCATCAGATGTCCCTACAATAGATAAACAATAAGGAAACATACAAAACAATTGTTGACTTGACATGGAGATGATTTTGAAGAATATCCTTTTATGTAATATACATGTAGCGTAATAAAACCTAGTTAGTAAGTTAGTCAAGAGAGCAATCTTATAGAAAAAGAGGCCCAGAAGTAACTAATAATACTGAGAAGAATTTTCACACAAATACTACAGTAAAATCATTGGTATTTGGACTGGGACTAAAATGATTTTGGACTGGGCATCAAATTTTACATGATAAGTGCATAAAACTCAACAGCACTGATCATGCATTAATTTTTTATGTGATATAGAGAAACAGAACTTGGTTCGTTTAACTCTCAGGGAGTCACTACTGTGGAAACTTTAAGGTACTGCGACTCTTCACCCCTTCCACTAAAATAACACTTCTTCTCCCCCCCCCCTCTCCCCTCCAAACTTCAGCCCATAATTTGGGTCCGTCAGTCCTGTAAAATTGACTTTCTATCACTTACCAATAAAATAATACTTCTTTCCATCTTTAAACTTTAGCGAATTTGGGTCTGCTGTAAATTTGGCAAGTACCACAGGAAAATATTTCAATGCTGTTGGATCATTGCATTGGAATAAAAGTTTGCTAGTATTGCTTAATGATGTATTACATTGGTCAAACACACTTCTGTCATAGGTAATCCAAAGGTTTTCATACATGGTTGTAGATTGAGGTGCTGTTAAAGTTTTTTGTGACACAGTGGCTGTTTGGACATATGAAGAAGACTTTAGATTGCAGTCGGACTTTAAGAGTCATGTATCCTGTGCTACAACTTTGGCTCTTGTTTCTGAATCTATGGAAATATTGAAGTGAAAAATCAGTTTTGTGTTAACATGTAGATGTATTACTAATAATCTGCAATACGGTACGGTATCGCAGTATCGCAGTATGTGGTGTTGGTGGTGGTGGTGGGGGGAAACTCGGAAAACAATAGAAATGTGGCCGTGGTGGTGGTGGAGGGAAAATAATCAAATTGTGGAGGAGGAACAGGAGGGAAATAAAAACCAAAAGGGAGAGGAATATAAATAAGGAAAACATTGTGCGCAGTGTAAAAAAAAAAGGATGGCTTGCCTTCTTGACTATTTTAATAGAATCTTAGAATATATTAATTAAATCTTTTTAAAATTAATTTAATAATGGGTCATAAAGTTGTGTTCTTGTCTTAAGAAACGTGTCTGGTTTTATTGCTAGCAATTATTAGTCGCGTGTTTCAATTAATCCTTGTTAAGTTATTAATTGTTTTTTGGGGGTGTGTTAATTATAATAATTCGTCAAGATGCTCCCTTGGGTGTTTTACTGCAGAAATTTCCCCTCTAAAAAGTACTATCGACGACCAGATATCTGAAATGTTGTCGCTGAGCTGTAAAGCAATGGACCTTATGACAAAAACAGTAAATTTCAGTGCTTCGAGAAAGTTCACCTCAATTTTCTCTATTACTCGGTGTTAGAGAATAACGCACTCCAGCGCAATACATCGAACGGTGTCCGCGATTGTGGTCGATGAATCGCATACGGTAGAAGAAAGACGCACAGCGTAATTCTCCATACTTTTTTGCTTGGTGTAGCTTAAGCTACAACTCAAATCTGAAGATCGCGCTATACGTAAAAATACAACATCCTGCAAACAACACTTAAAAAGCCGGGCCCAGCGTCAAAACATTCACGGACAAAGCAGTGACAAAGAAACTACAAACCAAGGCTCCTTGGTTTGTAGTTGTCCAGATCCAGGCATTTTAGTCGGAAAAGACCAAAGAAACTAAAATATTTATTTAGTCGTAATAAAAAGCTTTAGGCTTTAAGAGTGGTCAAAGAAATTAGTACTTTACAACTGCATCTGAGATCAACAAATTCTAATTAGTGAAAATAACATTAACCACAGGAAATAATTACTCAATACGGATTAAACAAACCAACTCCATGACCTCTAAATAAATGTTAGACTTAGTGCAGCAAAAATAAGATCTACTCAGTCAAGTTTAGAACGCAGTGTAGTCACCTATGCGCGAGATAGCCACAAAGAAAAAACCTGTGTTTGTTCAAGCAAACTCCAATTCCGGCCAAGGTCACGTTTTACAATATATCACGAGCTTTTGTGTCGTGTTTAGGCTGTCAACACTTTATTTCTGATTGGCTGGGAAAACTGAAACCAAACAAGTTGTCAACAGGATGCCAAAATGAGTTGAAGGGGGCGGCAGTTGAAAAGGCCACGAATCCGGGCAGGCGGTTTTTATTTTTCTCGCGGCTTCGCCCCTCGTTCTCGCGCGCTTCGCGCGCGAATTTCGCGGCTACGCCGCTCTTGCGCCCGGCTCGACAAAACTGCCATGCTACGCAGGCTACATCATTATAAGCTTTCGTGGCCATGCCTTGCAATTTTAATGTGTGTGCAAGTTAGGAATAAGAAAGTATTGAGATGTGCCAAGTACGATTCATAAGCGTTCCTGACCATATCTACCAATTTTAACATGTCTACAAGCTACGGATAAGAAAGTATTGAGATGTGCCACGCGCGATTAATAAGCGTTTCTGACCATAAATAGTGAGTTTACGCAACAGGACGGCAGGAAGAAGAGGACGGCAAAATGTTGGTGTGTGACAAACGTGACAGGGCTATAACTTGCATGTTATGTCGTGATCTTCCCTCAGCATTAATGTTTTCTGTTTTTTACAAAAAGATCTGTTTAAAGGAAAGTGATGGTTGGCGAAAAGTTAATTCAAACAAATTTGTTGTCACGGTTGTCACACAAGGTTTGCCGTCTTCTTTCCTCTCCCGTCCTGTTGCGTAAGTTCACTAATACCAATTTCAACAGGCCGACAGGCTAGGGATTTGAAAGTATTGAGATGTGCCAGGTACGATTAATTAGGGTTCCTGGCTATAAATACCAATTTCAACATGTCTACGGGCAAGGGATAACAAAGTATTGAAATGTGCCAGGTACGATTAATATTCGTCCCTGGCCACATTTACCAGTTTCAACCTGTCTGCAGGCTACAGATAAGAAAGTATAGAGATGTTGCAAGTATGATTAATAATCGTTTTTGACAATCTCTACCTAGTTTTACGCCCCCTGCAGGCTAAGGAAAGAAAGTAGTGAGACGCGCCAAGTACGATTAATTCTGATCACATTTACCAGTTTTAACCTGTCTGCAGACTATTGATAAGAAAGTATAGAGATGTGCCACTGAGTACGATTAATATTCGTCCCTGATCACATTTACCAATTTCAGCCTGTCTGGAAGCTATAGATAAGAAAGATGTGCCAAGTACGATTAATAATCATTTTTGAAGGATTCTTTCCTCCGTGAAGACTGTATTTCTTTCACACACAAATTAATTTAAGTTGTCATTCATATGGCTATTTTTCCTGAACGAGTTATTAATATTGCTGAAGAGGTTTCATTTGAAAATTACGCCATAAATAGCTTCATGCATATGACGTAGTACTGATGAGGAGGTTTAATTTGGATACTCACAAATGTAGGTTTTCGGCAAAAGATTCCAAATTTAAAACCGCGCGAAACATAAACTATACATGTGAACGTACTACTAGAAAGGTTCGATTTTGATAGTCACGTCATCTAATTTTGTCCAGAGACCAATAGTTAGAACTACATGCGAAATAGCTAGTTTCGTGTGAACACGCTACTGAGGAGGTTTTAATTTAAATGGTCAAACTATTGGATTTCATAGACGGACTAGTCACTGAAGTAAGATTTCGAACTAAATCAGTAAAACATAAACAAATACAGTCGTGTAAACGCGCTACAGATAAGGTTTCATTTGGACAGCCGATCACATCACAGCATTTTACAACAGAGATAAACTAGGGACTATTTTTAAAATGTCTCTATTATTGAATCTGGAAGTAAAAAGATTAACTTTAGCACAAGTCTCAGACGACTGTAGTTTTCTTCTTTGAATTTCCGGCCTTTTCTGTAGAGTAAACAATAGGCGTCAGTTCCAAGGCCACAGCCTGCTCATTACCATGGAATTCTTCTATTTCTATGTCGCCCTCACTCCCCGACGAGCCGTAAATCTCTGGTTTCAGCATCTGTCGTCTCTCCTCTCTGATTCCGGATCCGGATCCGGATCGAATTGATCTTCCATGTCACCTGGTAATGGGGGCAAGGGATTGTTTGCAATATTTTCACTTGATCCCCTATAAGAAGAAAACAACGCTGTCAACTATAGTAGATTCCAATAAAATTAACCATACATTTTAGATCATGCGCACGATTATAGAAGACAACGTAAATCACACTAAAACATTTTACGACGGGGCGATAATTCTGTGAGACAAGATCGCAATGCTCTATTTTATTATCATTATTTCATATATTTTATTTGATGCCAACCGCAATGGACTCGAACAAGATTTGTACGCAGCGAACGTAGTTAGATTTTCTCACCCTGAGATTTATACGCTATTACGCCTTAAATGTCAAAAATAAAAGGCGTTCACGTTCATTAAGCGTCTTCCCCTAAATATTCGCCTGCCAAACTGAAAAATAAAAGTCTCCTTGAATAACAATCACCTCCAGCACACTGTCTTAAATATATTAAGTGATGTTATAAGGGAACCTCCTCTCTTCTCTCATTTTCTGAACGCTTGTTTACCTTTGATTAAACGCCGGCATCTTATTAGCCACTCGTTCGGCTCAATTTTAAATTTACCGTGCACGGCAAGACCATTATCTGTTTCCCCGAGTTAAGCAATGCTATTTCTTACGTAACAATGTAACTGAGTCCCTTTCGTTCTTTGCCATGACCATGCACGTGTTTCATCAACGATATACTGTCTCCTCAGTACTCCTTTGAAGAACCTATTTCTTCCCCTAATAAGCGCCGCCTCAGTGGCCAAGCTAGTATATAAGCAGAACTGGCCCTACCTATCAGTTACTGAATTAACATAACATAGCGTATTTATTGTCGAACTAATATTGGGAAGTTCTTTAGCCTGGGACTTGTTGGCTCCTTTATGGGTACGGAATACCGGGTATGGACAACCCAACTCGCTTGTGGCTGAACTTTTCAAGAATAAAACCCAAATGCTTAATCGAGAGTACTAACCTGTCATAAACATCTGCTCTCGTCACAGGAACTGTGGGGTCTGAATCATGTGGATCAAGGTAGTAATCTTTGCTGCCACGGTTGTTGTCTTCTGTTAAGTGAAGGTACTCGGTCGCGACACTCTGTTGTGAAAAATAAGCCCAATATCGAAGTTTAGAATAAACATACAAGCCAGGAGCTCATAACTCGGAGCCAGCAACTTCCATACTAGGCTTATGTCACAGCGTTTTCACGGATCAGTTTGTTTTTAGACACATTTTAAGGGGCACTTCTTCTCGCGAAAAAAAAATCTCCACCATATCTATGAGCGAATTCGAATTATAAGATTTCAAAACGGAAACCTACACGTTATTAAAAGGCAAAAAATACCATTTTTAGGTCTGTAGGTTTTGCTGACTAGTTTGTGAAATTTAAAAGATATTCAAAATTCGCGCCAAAACCGTTTTAAAAATAAACTGGTCCGTGAAAACGTCGTGACACAAGGGCATGGAAGTTGCTCATTCCGGGTTATGGGCTCCTGACCAGCAAAAGATACGCATCCCTCATAATCTTTCTTTCAGTTGGCAGTCGAAATACTCTGATCTTATAGAATCGTAAATTTTTATAATCTGTATAGCTTTAGCATCTGCATTGCGTCAGTCTAAAAAAAACAGCATGCAGATCGTGTTATATCATTCCATGGCCGATCTACGGGAGGGGCCAAGGGGCCCCGGGGGCCCGGGACTCCACCTTCTTTATGGGCCAAACTGCAATCTACGTGACTAAATGAGCGGGTCCCCCACTTAGTTAGAGATTTGAATCCGCCACTGTCATTACAAATATGGTAATTTTTTAAAGAGCACACAGTATAAGCCATGTCTTCATATTCTTCCCGCAAAGCTTAATTCCCGCTCGCCCCATCAGAACAAAGGATATATACACTCAAAAGAGTATCCCCTTTTGATAAACCTCATTTTTTCCTTTGAAGGACCTAGTGTACAATAAGTTTTAACAAGAGAGAGGATAAGTTCTCTTAGTTCCTCCTTTGCCTCAAAAACAGTAGGAAAAAGGCCTCACCTGGGAAGCGCGTTGCTCAAGTATTGTACCAATCGACTGGCTGATTTGAACAAATTTAGGTCGCTTGTCGGGTCCTTCCTGCCAGCAATCTTGCATAATTTTGTAGATCTCCGAAGGGCAGTCTCGGGGATTTTCCATACGGTTTCCATCATTGAGAAAGTCTAGGAGCTCTTCTACGGGTATAGTGGGATACGGTGTGCCGCCCAGTGTAAAGATCTCCCACAAGCAAATACCAAACGACCATCTGCATTATTAAATGTCAAGGTTCAAAACATACACACTCGAAGGGTCATCACAGCCTGGGTCATTCCAAACCAAAAGGGTGTCAATAAAACTCTGTAAGCTGTTTAAGCAAAACTATGGACTCGAGGAAACAGATGGTAAGCTGCTATTAACTCCACTACAAGGGAATTATTGGAATTAAAACTTACATGGCTTGCATATGAAGCGCTACATTCAAGAATCGTTATCACTAGTATTCTCTTTCTTTCAAGTACTATTTATAAAAAATGGAAAACTTTAACTGCTGTGTTTACATGCCCTGATATAAACACGAGATTCGGGTGTTGGGAGAATTTAAGAGAATTCGTACAAATTGCAAACCACAGAAAAACAGTTTTCTGCTAAGGTGCTTTTATAGCGGCAACTTTCCCAAGAAAAAGTTACTACCTAGCTCTTTGTTTATGGCGCTGATGAAAAGAGCAGTTCTTACTAGTCGCGAAGTGTTGTAGTTTTGTACGTGTAATCAGTACGTTTTTGTTTTGCATTTATAATAAAGTTCAGATATAGCGTGCGCTCTGATTTGTTGCAAAAAAGTGCTCTATGAGAGTGTAAAACATGCTGACAACACTCTTTTGCATTAAAAAAAAAAGATTGTTTTGAAAATTAAAAAGGAATGTGTGGGGAATTTAACGGATTCTTTATATTCATAAAACAAATAAAGAAGTCTTGGCTGGGCTCTATTCTGTTGTACTACTCAAGAAGTAGAGAGAAACACTCGACTACATCTCGTGTTCCCCCCTACACTTCTTTCGTGTTCTAACCGCTGCCAGTCGTGCGTGCTTTACAACGTACAGAACAGAGCACAGTCAAGGCTTCTTTATTTGTTAAAAAGGTGATATTTTAAAGGACGGATTGTTCTCACTTAAAATGTCATCTTGAGCGTGAAAACTTTGTTACAGCATGTTTTTAAAGATTTTTCCAGTTCCATGCCTCTAAGTTATGGGTTAATAAAGTAAACTTGTCGAGTTTTTCAAACCATGGTTGCGTGGTTGCGTTTAACTGTGTTACTCGCATGCAAACATACTTCTCAGTCTATCGGAGAGCGCCTACTAATCTATGTTATGGCAAGTTTAACTTAGTTGCAGTAATCAAAAGGCCAGCTTCTTTTTAATTTGAACGCGTAGTTACGCACTAATTATATAGTTGTCATCCTTGAGTACGATCCCCGCATATTTTTATATTCTCCCTTCATGCATTTTTTTAAATGTCATTTGTACTTACACATCACTTTTCTCTGAGTACTCCCTCAAAAACAATGATTCTATCGCCATCCACTTCATTGGCAAAACACCACTGTTTGTCTTCACATATAAGTCACTCTTGTAAATATCTCGAGCGAGACCAAAGTCAGCGATCTTCATGACGTAGTCTTCTCCAACAAGAACGTTTCTGGCCGCCAAGTCTCGGTGAACACACTATATAAAACAGATATGTTTTGAAAAAAGAAATGCAAAATCAAGAAAGGAGATGATGATGATAATAATAATAATAATAATAATAATAATAATAATTATAATAATAATCACATTAAAAACAGGAAAAACAATTTTTATACCAACAGAGAAGTGCACACGCTACAGAAAGTAAAAGTAAATACATACATACATACATTGTTAAACAATGCTCTTCACTTACTCTCGAACGCTGAATTGTCAGTGAGAAACCAACGCCACAGACACTTGCGTCTTCGCTTCTTTCGCTCCCGGTTCATGGCTGATTTAATGTCACAGCTGTTGCGCACGCTTCTGAGTTCGCGTAACCTTATCTCCTACATGTTGCTTTTTCTAATCCTTTGCGCGAGCTTTTAGCTATATACTGAGGTCTCCTCTCTCTGAGTTACTTTACTTTTTACCACTTATTACTCATAATCAACTCTTACAGTGCGAATACTCGAAGCTGGGCTTTTGGAAATAGATTATCCAAACACAAATCATAATAATCATGGCGGTTTTTGAAAACAAAAGATTCTCATTAAATTTGAGGGCTAATTCCTGAGAGGTCAGGTAAGTTCAAACGGTTTTTAAGTTATCAACAGTTTCATAATTGCACATTGAATTTTTTTGGTCCGTTTACATTAACAGAGAATCTCTTGTTTTCAAAAAAAAAAAAAAAAAAAAAAAAACATTGAGTTCAAAGGATTTGAGTGGATAATAATCTTTCAAGCGCCACGGTTCAAGTAGTCATACTCTGTTAAACGCGAAAAACAAACAAATAGACGCAGATTAGGAGTCCAATGAACGATTTAAATCATGACAAAACTCCTTGAAGCCAAACGGAGAAAATAAGCAAGTGCTGGAGAATAGACCTTTTTAGCTTGTATGTTTTGTCTTCCCTTTTCAGACCATTTGATGGTACCCCAGAGAACCGTTCCTTTCAAAAGTTGTCCTTTGCTCGTGCATCCACGAGCATATCTATGTATATTTTATGAAAAGACAAATCGCAAATTGCCTTGAGAACATCACGTGGTGTGAAATGGGAAAATAAAACATAAGCCAAAAAGGTCTATTACAACCAAGAGCCACTACAGCTCTTGTTAGAACTGAATTTTCTTCAGAAATGTGGGAATCCTCGAACGGGACAACATTACTACAATACCTTTTTAGACGCCAGGTATTCCATTCCACGGGATATTTGGTAAGAGTAGCTTACAAGATTTGATATATTCAATCCTATCTCTGGGTCACTCGCAGTCGTAGTCCAGGTTGCTTCATAAACATCTCGCTTACCTCGTAAGAACTTTTGTAAACTCCCATGTGGTGCATATTCCAGAATGACAAGGATACGATCTCGCTTGATACAAGCACCAAGGAGGTTTACAATGTTTTTGTGTTCTCCAACGTAAATTAGAATTTTCAGCTCTGATGCCAGGTCTCTTACTTCCTCTTTAGTAGCTCCCCCTGAAGTGCCAAAGTATCGTACTCGGTCAGTTAAAAAAAGTGCACAGGGTCTAGTGGAGTCCATGTGGCCATGTCACTAGCAACGTTCAGTTTAACTGGGCACAAACCTCAGCAATAGGAATGAGCACGAACGGTACTCATGCATGAGAGAGGCCCTATGCGAATTGCCCACCTCACCCATGCTGAATCCAGGGGCATGGCTAGAGTTTTTTCCACTGGTAGGCACAGATTCCCAAATCAATCCTACCCCGTCTCCCAAATCATTACAGCGCAGGTAACCTGGTAACTCGTCCCCTCCCCTGCATATTATCAGCTGCTATAGTAACTATAAACCAAATTCCTTTTTTGTCCCCCTCCACCAACCCCCGACAAGTACCAGCCATCCTTGCTCCATGGTAAATGTTACACAAGTTGAAATAGAGATCTCTTGAAACATTACCTTTAACAGTCTTTACAGCTACGGTGGTCTTCGTGTACGCACTGCCTCTGGGATCGTGGTACGCATGGCCGGCCCTTTGTTGACGAAACATTTTAGGTCGTCGCTGACTTTTCTTTTGACTTTTGTCTCTGGGGCTAAATTTGTTTATTCCTATAGCCTCTGCTTTAATGACTTTTCCGAAGGCCCCTGATCCTAGCAACTCCCCAAGAATGAGCTTGTCCTCAGGAAACTCGAAATCTTGGTCATAAGGCAGATCATTACATTGTTCAAGCAGCGTACGATTAGGGTCAATCTAAAACAATCAAGAAATATTTTATTACTTACGTATACAATAGGGACCTATTTAGTCTAAGCAATGGTAAGTTCATTCCCTCCATCTGGAAACTGTTTGGTTCATGAGTATCACCTGAATTTAGAAGGCCATTTCAGGGCAATGGATCACTTTTTGAATAGAGTCAAAGAATAAACAAAAGCCAGTTTAGGTTTGAAAGGTAGACTTAAATTTATGGCCACTCCGCAAAGAAACTCGGCACCTCGTTCACGGTAAGTCGACAATAAAAGTCGTGACTATTTTTGCGCAACAGACTGATTCGTAGCCTGCAATGAAATGTACAAAATGTCAGCCATCTTTACTATCCGTGAGTATACATCTATTTTAAAACAAGGAGAAATCTATGGTTGCAATTTTGCAAATTATGTCTGTCGACTGGCCTCGAACAAGCAACTCAGATGCTGATAAATGTGTAATCATTCTCAAAAGTGTCCAACACCATGAGAGTTTACACGAATGTAAAGTGGCCATAAGTAAAGCAACCCTGCACTTTCGAAAGGTTACAAAAGATTTTAAGCAAAAGAGGGTCGACGACGGTAAAGAGAAGGTAAAACAGTAGCGGGTCGGATTAACAACCAAGAACGACAACTTTGCACGGGCCATCAAACTTAATTGCACGACTACGACGTGAAAAATTAGTCCCAATGCGAAGGACGTCAACCGGCACTGACCATAAATTTTTTATTCCCTTTTTAACTTGGCTGTCCATAGAAATTCAACTACTCCACGTAAAGTCACCTACATTTCACATATCAAACGAGATGACGTTAATCGAGATGAAGTTTGAAAGATCGCAAATTCATTTTATTTTCGCCGTCATGTTTGAACAAAGGTTGAGAGACGTTTGCTCATAAAACCCCTTTTCTAATTTGATTGCTTCTCTGAGACAAAATTTTCACAAGTAAAAGAAATCCCCCTTACCCCTCCGTTTTTCCGCGTTTAAGGTTCTCATTGTAGGTGTTGAGCATGATCTTGGAATGGGAGGGGTGTGAAATTTACGCAGTCCAACAAACATCATTTTCAGCCAAAATAAGTTGCAGAATCCAAGGTTAGGCACTGGTAGTTATGTAGTGGCTTCATTTCAAGCTCGTTTTACATGGTATTTTACCTGGTGTTTTCCAGTGTATACTGGAAAAAACTGATTACGATACTCCACAGTCTGCTTCCGCTGATGGCGTATAAAGCAAAAGAAGGCGAACCCAAGGACGATACAGAGAAACAGGATTGCTCCAACAACAGAAAGGGCAACAGTGGCTTCCTTACTAAGAACTTCTATTGGAGATAGTTTTGGGTTGGAGCTGGTTGACACTAGAAAATATTCAAAGACAATATTGCTTATTGCTTCAGTTAAATTACATTATTGTTCATTCAAAATATTTCCCCAATTCTGATTGGCTAAAAGCACGTGCATAATTCACCATAACCAGTTACTGATGACCAAATTTGGAAGAATTTTGTGTTTAACGAAGAAGGGTGTTATCCACCTCGACCTTCGGCCTCGGTGGATAACACACTCCTCGATTTGCTTAATTCTTCATATCCTACGAAAGCCGAATTCATTAATTGCTAAATAAATCAATAGGCCCTTTGCAGCTAGCTGTTCACGTGGTACACATCCGCCATGCTGGCGAGCAAGGGGCGCACTGGGGCAATACAAACAAGGAGCTCACACATCTCTGAGAAAATTTGGTAATCTATCCATCCGAGAAAAATTAGGTTATGACGTAAGTCAGGAGTCATCCCGTCGGTGGGACGAGCATGTTATAGCGTAGCCCCATGGTTAAGAAAATTTGGTTCTATCCATTGGAGAAATGTTGGTACAACCAGTTGCAAAAATGTTGAGACACTCCCACGAAAAAACAACCGTTCATGCTTTAAATCGCTGCTAGTCACAGGTCTGTGAGATATAACACTGACCTCCCTCCTCCCTCCCATTCAAAGTCGTTCCTCAAAGTTTTGATCATGATCTTGTATTGTTAGCAACTTTGCCAAGGGGTGAAGGGGGGGTCACAAGCACAAGATCATGGACAGGCCACTTATACCAAAGTACGGTACACCCTTTCCCTGCGCCAACAGCACTCGCGCATGCTCTGATCATCTCACCTTCACCGAGTTGACCCGGCTGGCCAAGCCAAAAATGTTTATAAGGAGAAAAGTTGGCCCGCCAAGTAGGGTGACCCAACCATCACAAAAGGATGACCAGGCTAGGAGAGTCACCCTTCTCGACAAGCCAACGGTTTTATTTCTCATGTAAACAGTTCGCCAACTTTTGCAAGAAAATGTACGAAAAGTTGGCTGGACGAGGGTAGCTGGATTTGGATATGGATTTCTTACTTGAAATCCACCCTAGGGACGGATTTCTCGGAGGTGAAATCCGTTTTCAGATTTCGCGTTCGATTGCAAAATACGAAATCCGGATTTCAAAATCTAAATCCGGATTTCCCAATCGAACGCAACCCAGGTAAATAAACGTTGGAAAGAAATGAGAGAGTGATTAGAAGACTCGGTGCTGGATATTTTTGACCGTAATGGCGGACGGAGCAAGAATGATCCGGTTAACTTTTGCATTTTTACGATAAATAGTCTGGAAACACGCATCATACGACTAACAATCGTACAATTCCACGTATAATAACCGTAAAGCTACGTCTTTTACAGTTAATAAACTGAAAATGTAGTATTTTACGATTATTACACTGGTTTGGTGTGGAAAGAACGATTAATAACCGTAGAATCTGTATTTCTACGATTATTAATCTGTACTCCAAACGTATTTAGACACTCCAGAAATAAATTGACATCTGTTATTCTTTATTTGGTTGTGCAGGAATTTCTGAGCAGTTTATCGGAGCGGAGATGCTTTGAGGAATAATCGCAGTGAAGAGAAGGATGCAACACATGTGCTTGGACTGTCAGTACAAAGATACTAATATAAAGCTGATATAGCTAGAAGAGAGCTAATAAACAAGAGCCCATTTTACAAAGTGAAAAAACTTCTTAAGAGTTAAATCTTCTCCTTAAAGAAAGTACACGTCACCTTTTTTAACTTTAATTTCACCAACTCGGCCATCAAACTCTGACGTTTTCGTCTCTATTGCGTTTGTCAGAACGTTCTCAGTTGACGATGCTGTGGTTGACGCTGTAGTTTGAACTTCTGACAATTTAAGAATACCCTCTTTTGAACTAAAATTGCTATCTACAAAGAGACAACCATTCATCTGATATTCTGTCTTGAATCTATAATCTCTATATGCTCTAAAGCTCTAGAGGAAGGTAATCTTAACCATAATCTGCATAATGAAACCATTGGCCACTTATTCACAGACAGTTCCTTCAAGTGGCTCCGCTGGTTTCTTGATATTTAGAGCAAGGGTAATGACTAGAAATCGACGGGAGTTGGAGTCCGATTCGTCATCAAAAGTCAGCAGAGTTTTCCGCTGGGTTCTGCTTGAGACACCATCGCTGACGACCAAGTAAACGTCGACGTCGGAAGTAAAAGAGGAAGAATAAACCAATAATCACAACGCTTGGGAACGCACTTCAGTGGTTCATTCTCCAGCTTCTGCTTGCGATTCCGAGAATTTTGGTGTTTCGCAGAATGGAATCAGTGGATAAAGGGCATTAGTTTACAATATATTGCGTTAAATTGAGGGGATCATTTGACAACAGTTAGAAGCATTAAAGAGGCTTTTGTTAGGAAAATCAAAAGTGCAAACAACTAAGAGCTTTTGAAACAGCGGTTAAAAGGCATTGGGTGAAAGCACAGTGCAACCAATTTATAGCTTCATCAGCAGCAGCTACAGGCACCAAGTCACAATGTCATAGTTTAGATGGAAGCACATCCGGGTGGTGCAAACAAAATGATGATGCTGCAGCTGATTAGTTGAGGAGTGGAAAATACAATTTGAATGCTGTGAATTGGAGCACAGCCTCTCTAGGTAGTTTAGTTGTAAAGATGGCTTAGTGCAGACGTGGCGTTTTGTTTCTCTGTTTGTTTGTTTATTTTTTGTTTTCATTAGCACGTCAGCCTGAAGGGATCACATCACTTTACACACAACTCCGTTTTCTCTTTTAACGACTACCACCAAACGTTCCCATAAATGGAACAGTAACATCGTGAGATCGATCCCTCAGGCAATGAAGAGACACAGTATGAGGAGGGATGATAAGTAAGCATGTCATTAGTAATTAATGATAGCCATGGCAAGAATCATCGTATTTCCGAGAACTGCTCTACCATGTGCTCTCCTGTCACATGACTATCATGTGACCGGAAGTCTTGCAAATAAAATACAAAAAAAGGAAGAACAAAACAAATAGAATAAAGTAAACTGACGACTGTCGGTAGTTGCGCCAATTTATAGAACTGTACAGAAATAATGCTCAAAAATACACACGGCGACTGGGATCGTTATATATACAAAAATAAAAAAGTCTGTGAAAATAAGAATCAACAAACTGCTATAACAACAATTGTTGATTTTCATACCTGTCTCCATGCGGTCATCACGCCTTTTTGGATTTGTTTGAGTTGGATCACGACATTTCAGGACACCCACATCTTCTGCTGGACAGTCTTCATCTGGAAAAATTGTTTTAGAGAATTTATTTACAGTCGACTCTCTCTTTACGGACACTTCTTAAGATGGACACCTCAATAAAACAGACACCTAGAGTTGGTCCCTGCCTTTTTTTCGTCCCTTTACTTGACTCTCAATAAGATAGATTACTAACATCGGAAAAAAACTTATGACCCTCCGAACAACCTTCTTAAGCCATTCGCCCCTCAGCCGCATGTATAACCGTCCGTGCAGACCAACAAGGGTTGTAACACTTGTTACAACATCAGTCTTAATGGTCGACGACAACTTTGTCTCCTTATTTGTGCAGGAGGAAAATATCCTTCAGACCATGCCAGAATGAGTACAATTCAATCAAGAAGACCGCAAAAAAGTTTAAACACCATGAAAAGTTGACCCAAAAATTCTAACGAAAATCTTGTTCCACTACGCACCCGCACTTCCTTCCACCAAATCCTATGATCCTAAAAGCTTTTCCATAGAAGTATTCCACCAGAATGAGAAAGCCTAGTAAATGCCCAGCAAATAACAAGAAAATGGGCAAAGAAGCGGAAAGAAGAGGGGAAGGAGAGAAAGCAAAAGGTAAAAGTCGAGACTACTGTGTGACTTTTAAACACAAAAACTCTTCCAAAATTTTGCTTTTTACACATGCCCAAACTTCAGAGGCTGATATTTTAAATCTGTAACAGAAGGCTGCAAAGTGCACAAACTTCAAATGGCATTATGGGACGTTTTGGTAGTCTAAAGTCAGACTGTGACCACAAAACAGCTCAACTAGCTTTAAAAGCTGTTATTGTGGCATCAACTTCACCTTGAAGTTTTTTCTTCAAAGCTTTTTACATGTAGTTAACATGGCATGTACGTGTACAGTATGTGTACACTGTACTTCAGCACTTCTTTTAATTACAGTGTAGTAATTGATCATTACCTGTATAAGATAGATTACTTTTTTTGCAGACATAGACTTCAATTTTCATAAATATTCCGTTTTTTGTGTCATTGCAGTGACCTCCACTAAGGTCATTGAGGTGTGCCTGTGTGCCATCAGATGTCCCTACAATAGATAAACAATGAGGAAACAAACAAAACAATTGCTGACTTGACATGGAGATGATTTTGAAGAATATCCTTTAATGTAATATACATGTAGTGTAATAAAACCTAGGTAGCAAGTTAGTCAAGAGAGCAATCTTATAAAAAAAGAGGCCCAGAAGTAAGTAATAATAAGAAGAATTTTTACAAAAACACTACATGCAGTAAAATCATTGGTGTTTCGACTGGGACTCAAATGATTTTGGACTGGGCATCAAAATTTTACATGATAAGTACATAAAACTCAACATCACTGATCATGCATTAATTTTTTATGTGATATAGAGAAACAGAACTTGGTTCGTTTAACTCTCAGGGAGTCACCACTGTGGAAACTTTAAGGTAAATGCGATTCCTCATCACTTACCACTAAAATAACACTTCTTCCCCCCTCCAAACTTCAGCCCATAATTCGGGTCCCTCGGTCCTGTAATATTGACTTTCTATCACTTACCAATAAAATAATACTTCTTTCCATCTTCAAACTTCAGCGAATTTGGGTCTGCTGTAAATTCGGCAAAAACCACAGGAAAATATTTCAATGCTATTGGTTCATCGCAACTGAATAAAAGTTTGCTAGTATTGCTTAATGATGTATTACATTGGTCAAACACACTTCTGTCATAAGCAATCCAAAGGTTTTCATACATGGTTGCAGATTGAGGTGCTGTTAAAGTTTTTTGTAACACAGTGGCTGTGCTTGGACATTTGAAGAAGACTTTAGATTGCAGTCGGACTTTAAGAGTCATGTATCCTGTGCTACAACTTTGGCTCTTGTTTCTGAATCTATGGAAATATTGAAGTGAAAAATCAGTTTCGTGTAACATGTAGATGTATTACTAATGATCTGCAATACGGTACGGTATCGCAATATCGCAGTATGTGGCGGTGGTGGTGGTGGTAAAGGGAAACTCGGAAAACAATAGAAATGTGGCGGTGGTGGTGGTGGAGGGAAAACAAAATTGAGGAGGGAAAATAATAAAATTGTGGAGGAGGAGGAGGGAAATAAAAACGAAAAGGGAGAGGGTTAAGTAAAACATTGTGCGCAGTGTAAAAAAAAGGATGGCTTGCCTTCTTTGACTATTTTAATAGAATCTTTAATATATTAATTAAATCTTTTTGAAATTATTTTAATAATAATAATTAATAATAATAATTAAAAATTTATAACGCGCCTTTTCCATGCAAATATGATCAAAAGCGCGTGACAAAACGTAAATGTTAAAAGAAAATAAAAACTAAAATGAGCAAAATAATTAAGGCTAAGAATAAACAACGCTAAAAATAAAATAAAGATAAAAAACACTAAATATATTACATAGTAGGTAAAAACTTACGTATCAAAAGCTAGTCTAAAAAGATGCGTTTTTAGTAAAGATTTAAAACGTTCAAAATTGTCCTCAAGACGGATGTGAAGGGGCAGATTGTTCCATAAATTAGGGGCAGCAGATGAAAAAGCACGATCCCCTAAAGTCTTTTTCAGTTTTAAACTAGGATACTTTAAGATAAGACCGCTAGCTGAACGGAGATAATAGCGCGGCTGTTCTTTAATAGCAATCAAATCGATCAAGTAACCAGGTGCATGACCGTAGATAGCTTTAAAAGTAAAAAGAAGTATTTTAAAATCAATACGAAATTTGACAGGAAGCCAATGTAACGCACATAGTACTGGTGTTATGTGACTGTAGCGAGGGACATTAAATATAAGTCGAGCAGCTGCATTCTGCAAGCGTTGCAGTTTAAGTAGATGAGCAGAGGATAAACCAAATAGAAGGCTGTTGCAGTAATCTATACGACCAATGATAAAAGCATGGACCAAAGTTCGTGCAGACTCCTGGGACAGATATTTTCGGATACGCCGAATATTGTATAAATGGAAAAACTCAGATTTACAAGTTTTTTGGATCTGTTCCTGGAGATTCAAGTTAGAATCGAACCATGGGCCTAAATTACTTGCCACAGTGACAGGAACAACGTCAATGCTTCCCACAGTAACGCAATCAATATTTACTTTGGAAAGTTGTTGTTTTGTACCAATCAACATGAACTCAGTTTTGTCATCATTAAGTTTGAGCTTATCCGTAAGCATCGACGTACGAATGTCCGATATACAGCGTTCCATGGCAATGACCGCATCAGTCTGATTAGTAGCCGTGTCAGGACTAAATGACAGGTAAAGCTGAGTGTCATCAGCATAGGCATGTGCTTCAGGTAGATGGTATTTGATGACTTCAAACAGTTTGCTGGAATAAATGGTAAACAACAATGGCCCCAGACACGATCCTTGTGGAACGCCATAAGGAAGCTTAAAACTGTCAGATGTAAAGCCATTTAGCGAGACTCGTTGCGACCTGTTGTTAAGATAGGACGTAAACCAATTAAGGGCGGTGACATTAATGCCGATACGTGACTTAAGACGAGCAAGCAGGATATTGTGGTCAACAGTGTCAAAAGCTGCACTCAAATCTAGGAGAACTAGAAGAGTTACATGCTTGTAATTCATATTCATGAGAATGTCATTTTGTACCTTCAGTAGCGCTGTTTCTGTGCTGTGACCCTTTCGGTAAGCGGATTGCGAGGTTTGATAAAGGGGAAAAGAATCGACTCATATGACTGTGAATTTGGTCGAAAACAGCGCGCTCTGTCAATTTTGATATAAAGTCCAAGTTACTGACAGGGCGATGGTTATTCAACTGCGTCGGGTCTAAGCCAGGTTTCTTAAGGATCGGAGTAACCAGAGCTTCTTTCCATTCCTCAGAGAAATGGCCGCATGATAGCGAAAGATTTATAATTCTTGAAATAACAGGCAACAGCACGTCAAGGCAGCCAACAACCAGAGAAGTTGGCATCGGGTCCAACGGGCAGGACTTCTTAGCAGACTTACGGATGAGCGCAGAGACGTCGTTTTCCGAGAGTGATTGAAAGGAATGAAAAGCATGCGCATCATCTACTTCCTGATCAGGAGGTAGCGCATAGCGCGTGCTTGGATCGATGTCTACGGCATCAATATCAGAACGAATTGTATCTATCTTTCGAACGAAAAAACCGCCGATGTCATTGGCTAATTTTGATTTGTCCTGATAATTAGGAAACGAAAACTCCTCTTTCTTAGCAAGGAGTTGTTTGGTAGCTCTGAATAATCTTTTATGGTCTGTGCTATTCTCATCAATAAAGTTACTGTAAAATGCCTGCCTGGCCTGGCTCATGAGGTACGTCACGCGGTTTCTGTACGACTTGAAAATATTTAAGTCAGACACAGATCTCGTTCTCCTCCAGGTTCTCTCAGCCTTACGTCTCAAGCGTTTAGCGGCCTTTATCTCGTCGTTGTACCAAGGCACTGCAGGTCTAACTTTCACAGTCTTAGTCTTAAGTGGGGCGTGACAATCAATGACTTTGGAAAGTGTAGTGTTGTATCTGCGTACAAGAGCATCCAAGTCACGTGGACCTTCTGAGTGAAGATGCACTTGCAGATCCGGTGGATCACTGCATAACAAGGAGTCAGATAAGTAAAGGGTCATAAAGTTGATTTCTTGTCTCAAGAAACGTGTCTGGTTTTATTGCTAGCAATTACTAGTCGCGTGTTTCAGTTGATCCTTGTTAAGTTATCAATTGTTTTTTGGGGGTGTGTTTTTATAATAATACGTCAAGATGCTCCCTTGGGCTTTTTACTGCAGAGCTAATTTGTGTGCAACGGTGGGCTTATGGACTTGCACAATTACCTAACGACGCGTGAACGCACTTTTTCTCAAACAGCAAGAAGTGGTAACGTTTGCGCATGCGTCACGCCAATGCTGGGAAGCTGTTGTTGACGGGAAATCGCCATAGCCGAAAGCTGTTCTGAAGCACTTTCAAGGGAGATTTTTTTGCATATCCAATCTACAGCAGACATGTCTTATAGATTGGATACTTTGGTTAAGCCATGTTGAAGTGTCATGTATGGGAGAAGGACCATTCAGCTGGTTAATTTTCATCCATTTGGCTCCTCTGATGGAGCAGATAAAGTGTTCACCAGGTCGTTTGTTGTGACATTATAATAATAATAATAATAATAATAATAATAATAATAATAATAATAATAATAATAATAATAATAATAATAATAATAATCAACTTTATTTAACGAGGGTAACACGGGACAGTACTTCAACTGAATAACTACTGGCCCTGAAACTAAAATTATAAAACGAAAATTAAGTGACAAAATACATATCGTTAACGAAAAAGAACTATAAATATATGTATGGTTAAGACTAAAAAGAGTAAAAAACTATATTACAATTATAAAATATCCTTACAATGAATATCTACAAACTATAATTACAATAAGAATACAGCTAGGATGGGTCAAGCGAAAGGAAGGTTGTGAAATGCCGGATTAGCATAAAACTAAGAAATAAAATTAAGTTTCACTTAAGCTAAAATGATCAACGTCATTGTATCTCGTTAAAAAATGACTATAAATAGCCTTTCTAAATGAGGTTACACATGTTCCTTTCTTAAGGTCAATGGGCAGAGAGGTCCAGAGCCTGGTCGCGGACACGCTAAAAGTTCTCCTTCCCTCAGATTCGCGATTATATCTGGGGCAGACGAGGTTTAAGACACTGTACCGCCCACTGCGTGTGTGTAAATCTGCATTGCATTTAAGAAGGTCATACATGTAGCTGGGGCAGTTCCCTTGAAGGCGCTTAAGGACTAGCGAACACTTGTTGACTTTAGCTTCGACATAAAATGGGAGCCACCCTAATTTATTAAAGAGATTTACGCTATTTGATCTTGTGTCAGCTCCTAAAATTACTCGGGCTGCACGTTTTTGCAGCTTGAAGATTCTCGTCAAGTTATCAGCTGAGCAGTTTGACCAAATAGTTGACCCATACAACATTACTTGTTTGATCATAGCATTGTAGTAAAGTATGCGCTGTTCAATAGGGATGAATCTCCTTATCTTTCTAAGAACCGCTATTCTCTGGGATAACTTCTTGCACAGTTCCTCAACGTGTACATCAAAGCTTAAGGGTTTGTCAATAGTAGCCCCTAAGAGTTTCTGACTATCAACTTATTCTATGTCAGAGTTAACAAGTTTGAGCTCCAGTGAACAATTGTCAAGCTTGCATGGTATACGTTTCCCTGTAACAAGGAAACATTTCGTCTTCGCAGCGTTTGTAACCATTTTGTTTGCAGCCGACCACCGTGAGACGTCATCAAAGTCCTGTTGAACGGCTGATGACATGGCAGTAAGTCCAGTAGTCACGTCTGATGATAAACTGAGGGTAGTGTCATCCGCATAGATGTCTACGGTAGAATGCTGTGCCGCCGATGGCAGATCGTTAATGAACAAAAGAAACAAAATGGGGCCCAAAATACTCCCTTGCGGTACTCCAGCCGACACAGTTCTTGGGGAGGAATGACAGCCATTGATGTGTACATACTGTGTGCGTCCACTCAGATAACTGCGTAGTAATTCCAGCGCGTTATCACGTACCCCATAGGCTTCCAATTTCTCTAGAAGCAGATCGTGGTCTATGAGGTCAAAAGCCTTTTTATAGTCAATAAACACTAGCCCCAAGTCAAAGAGCAGCTGATCGACTAGGCGGATAAGGGCGGTCTCGGTAGAGTGAAATTTGCGGAAGCCGGACTGAAATCTATGTAGCAGAGCGTTTTCCTCAAGGAAGTAACAAAGGTGATCACAAATGTGCTTCTCGAGTAGCTTAGAAAGTATAGGAAGCACGGTTATCGGCCTATAGTTGTTCTTGTCGTCCCGGTTTCCTTGTCCCTTATAAATGGGAGTCACTTTACCGACTTTCCACTTTGTGAGGAAGGTTTGTTTTTCGATACAGAAATTGATTAGCTTACACAGGGAATCTGCGATAGCAGGTGCAGCAATTCTCAGCAATTTGGCACTCACTCCGTCGTTTCCTGTAGCTTTGTACACTGGGATAGAAAGAAGGAGATTAACAACTTTGTCCCTGGATATTTGACTTGTCAAAGAGCACGCGACCAGTGACAGCGACCGTGCTGCATAGTCATAGGAACCAAATTGTTCACTTTGAAAGCTTGCTTGAGATTGAAATGGTAGCAGGAACTTCGGAAAGACCTTCGTTGTACAAAATAAGTAAAGATCTGTTGATTTAAAGTGGAGACTGATGCGCTGAACGAGGTGAAAGAGCAAGTTTCTCAAGGATGTCTGACACCAACATGGCTGCTTGTTGTTGTTTGGCGCGCGACTCGTGGCTTGATTCCCCTTTAAGAACCGCAAAGTTTGGCATAGAATGCATTGCTGATGCGTAGCTATTGAGCAAAATGTTCTTTATTTAGTGTTTGTCTATAAATCGGATGTAAATCAATTTCTCGATGCCGTAGACGATTTCTGTCAATAATTTGTTAATAGCTGACTTAGTCATATTTCGGGAGTGGATTAATAACGATCAGCGGGCGACTACCACGCCGTTTTCAGTTGGAATAGAAAGTTTTTGCCTTAAGTATTTTAGCGATACAAAGTTTGTTTATAGGAAAATTGTAGAACTTCTTGTTTTTGCGTGGACTAACATTGTAACGCATCTTTTACAGGAATTTGCTTTTGGCCAGAACTTAAATGTTCTAATGATTTTTAACCATTGGTCAGCATCACATGTTTACTGTACTTCTTGGGAAACCTAACTGTTTGTTTCATCAAAATCGGTCACAAGATTGGACTTTAATTTCAGTCCTATTGAATGCAGTTTTGACTGTGTCTCATTGATATTCATTTTTTTAATTGTTCGAGACATACAGAGTGACCACCACCAACATCTCACCAGGTGACTAATCTACGTCTCGTGTGCTCTTAATTTTGTAGCTTTAAAGTGCTGGGAAAATTGTAGAACATATATTAATTCACTGCTGAACTGAACATCGGCTTTCGCGCACTTCGAACCCACTCGCTGAAATTTGCTATGTTTTTTTATAATATTTCTCTTCCTTTCCCATTTCAAAACAAAGAAAATTGAAAGTGTTTACTTGCATCAACAAAAGTTTCTGCACTTTGTTTAGACTTTGATGGGGTCAGCGCAATCCTCCAGGCACTACATATACGCGCGCTGTTGTCCAGGTCAAGTGGGGAGATGAAATTTGATAGTAGCTCGTGTATGTTAAAGCCGGTCTACTTCACTTTTGTTAAGACCATGTTAGAGTTTTTTTTGCAAACTACACATTTTGTTAAATCACGAGCACATTCGCCAAGACCAACGAGCAAAATAATCGCTATGATAGCTTTGAGACGCGCCATTTTGATGAAGGCAAACCCTGTGGTGAGCCTCCATGCACATCGCTTGTTCAGCGGTCGCGCATGCTCATGCAAAAAAGACCCCTGTTTTAATTAAGTGCCTAGTCAGTGTGTTCCTGCATACTAATTCGGTATAGGTTTACGAAAGAGCGTCTCTCTACTTCAATGGAAACAATAGGCTTGCCTAAACTTGCCCGGTAAGTAACTTGAGCCTGGTTTTCGGACCGTCTATTAAAAGGAAAATAGGAGCGATCACCTAGCAACGCGAGAAACGGCTTCCTATATCTTATTTAGCGCTAAAACTCGGATATATAAACAAAACACACGCACATATACACAAATTGGAGCTGAAAACGCTTTATTTCAAATCTTTCTGACTATTACAGAACCGTTTTCTCCCATCTATCTCGAGCAAAGGAAAAACTATTAAAGTCTCAGAGTTTCACGCACTGTTAACCAGTTAATTATGCGAGTTCACAAGCCCACCTTTGCATACAAATTAGTTCTACAGGAAAAACCCCAAGAGAGAACCTTGACTTATTATTATAAAACCAATTTTAAATAACTTAACAAGGATCAATTGAAACACGCGACTCATAATTGCTAGCATAAAATCAGACACTAGATACCATTTTAAAAACCAATAACAAAAACAATCAAACACACAGCGATTTGAAAGGAAAAGGAATGAAAATTAATCCTTTGACTGACTATTACAAATCCGTTTTCTCCGTTCTATTTCGAGGAATAATAAATAATCCTTCCGTGTCTACACAATTTCCCTATGGCCTCTAAGCCAAGAGTTCGACTTTCTTTGTTTTTTTCGGTTTGCCTTGTTCTTTGTGGTTGTTCTTTTAGCTTCTGCTTTAAAAGAGGCTTCATTTCTTCGTGATCTTGACAGTTCGTACACCGTTTCTTGTGTCTGCACTGGACTGCGAGTACTATTTGAGTGATTATTTCCGGAATTATCCGCTTCACTGTCGTAAACGACGACTTTAACTTTAGATTGTGGTTTCGCCTCTTGTAAATACTGTCTTCACTGTATGTGGTCTAACTGATGAACATCCGCGAGATGGTTAGCTAATCTGACAAGGTACTTTGCCCCGCACGATGAAATCGGACAGTTTCTGCAAACTCTCTTGTAAACCATGTTCACAGTTCGATGACTGAATACAAATGACATCCTAATCGCAAACAGTCAGGTTATATAGAGTGTCAGAAAGGCCAAACACAGGCCATAAAGGCCAAAACCAGACCAAAGGGACAAAAGGAGACAAACGGGCCATTTCTAGTCATGTGTCTTTATCTTTTCTCAGACACACGCGAGGGTGTCGCGTGTCGCTAGTCATGCAACAGCTCTCAACATTGGAATCATCATCTTTATTAAGTGTAATCACAAATAACAGTGCCTAATTAAAAAAGTTTTGACCGTGAATTACTACTTGGTATTTCAAATTTCAGATTTTTTTTAAATTTATTGTACAAGTTTACAATTATTGTTATTATTTTCAAGTCAGCAACAAAACACTCTTAAAGTTTGGTTGTTTACAGTTTTTATTGAAACGCAACAATACAAAGGTCCAGGAAAAAAAAATTCTATAACATTCATAGTTGGACTAGTCTTCATCTTGTCGAATGGGCTGCTTTTGATACAGTCTATTGAGTAAGAATTTTCGCTTATCGATCGCTAGTTCTGTCGATTCCAACCAATCGAATCCTTCAGTATCTACTAGTTTTGGGTTTCCATAAATTTCTCGAAGGTCCATGTGGGGTCGATGTGGGGTCGATGTAGGGTCGATGTGGGGTCGATGTAAGGTCGATGTGGGGTCGATGTGGGGTTGATGTGGGGTCGATGTAGGGTCGATGTGGGGTCGATGTGGGGTCATGTGAGGTCGATGTGGGGTCGTTGTGGGGTCGATGTGGGGTCGATGTAGGGTCGATGTAGGGTCGATGTGGGGTCGATGAGGGGTCGATGTAAAATCGATTATTATTTACGAAGGAGAACGCTTAGTAACCCCGCCTTCACCAATTTTCTATAAAAGAGGCGCGTTGCTCTCTGGAGTTTAGTTTCCTATCACAACGCGTGCGGTTCAAACCAAAGATGACGAGCACGGGCTATACCTTATACCTTCAGCAGGGTGCTGGAAAATATGAAGACAGCGAAGAAAGCGATTTCTCCCAAGAAAGCGAAGTCTCTAGCCCAGGAACGGAGTCTTCCCAAGAAGAAACAGAAAACTTAGTGCCTTGGTTACGCATTCTTGATAAAGCCTTGATTGGAACAAAATCGTCGCAGCATATTTACTTGAATAGTTACACACTACAAATCATTACTTACAGAGGATTCTGAGGATCCCAGAAAATGGAGTCGTAAACACAGCTGCTAGAAACACAGACCATGTTGATGAGAAGGCCAAAAACAGATAGTAAGACTTTCCGCATGGTAGATCGATCGACGTTTACTCGAAAACCTTGAAGTTCTATAACAGCATCAGTTGAGCTAATTCATATGTTGCTATCGAGCTTATCGTTCTTGTTTTTACTTTAACTCCACAAGAAAAAGGGTTGAATAAAGTGCAAAACCACAACCTGTAATTTGGAGACGAAATATTTAAGTCCTCTCTCATTGAATGTTTACC